GCTCACCCCTCGGCCGCCGTGGCCTGGAAGGGGTAGAGGAAACTAGCCGAGGCGTGAAGCAAGAAGAATTGGCCCATGACGGTTGGATACAGAGTGGATCAATGCAGCTTTCCGCACAAGGGCCAGAAGGTCTACTAGGTTCATCTCTTCCTACTGATGAGGCCCTTACAAGCATTGGATTTACTGAGCACCTCAGGGACAGATCGAAATCAGAGAGCATAATGTGCCCATCTTCACGAACAAGTATGTTTTCTGGTTTCAGATCGCGATATATGACCCCCAACATATGTAGATATTCCAATGCTAGGAGAACTTCAGCAACATAAAACCTGCAAAATAAAAAGGTAATTCTCCCTGTGAGTTACATCGCTCAAAGAACATACACCAATTGATCAGTTAAAAACATCAATCAGATGGCAGCAAGCAAGACTGTATCAGTGTCTGTTAAATGAGACTATAGCTCGGTTAGTGTGAAGCAGCCACATGGCAATCTCATGTATGTTAGGACATCAAATGAAAACACGATTAATAGAACTTAAGTTCCATACCTAGCAGCAGCTTCTGAAAAGGTCCTGGTAGGCTGTTTCTGTCGTAGAACATGCAGGTCACCGCCAGGGCAATACTCCATGACTAGGCAAGACAGATTATCGGTCGTGAAAAAAGAATACAGAGTTGGAAGAAATGGGTGGTCGAGCATTTGCAGGATCTCCCTCTCAGTTTGTGCTCGAAGCATCTTCTTTCTACTTATCAGGTACTCGATATCCATAACTTTCAATGCGAACATGCATTCAGAACCCACCAATTCAGCTAGATAAACAGTCCCAATATCTCCACAACCAAGTTGTTTGAGAAGCTTGAAGTTCTTCAGTCCCAGGCTCCCTTGTTGGATTGCCATGCGCCTAATGGCCCCCCATCTCACATCTTTTGACATGTGAGGCCTGCAGCCATTGCCACTGAAACTACCATAACTATCATCGCTTATGCTTGTGCTGGTGCTATAATCACCCATGCTGCTCTTTGAGCTTTGGGAGCATTCACCCTTTTCCTTCGATCTTGACAACTCACTGGGCTTTGAACCATGGATCTCACCAACACCACATCCTTTGGTGCCACAATTAGCTCCATCAGTGCTGATAGAGCTAGCCGCAGCCTTCTTGTTGATTGGTGTTGGAGTTCTGGGTTCATCCTGTAGGGCCTCGTGCTTCTTATTAGCTTGAGAATTGGAACTTTTTGCCTCACAAGTCTTGTGAGATACCACTGCAGCAGCTGGTTCTGGTTTGACCTTCTTCTTGGTGGAGGTTTTACTCCGGAACACCAGGCGTGAACCGCCCACAGGAACTGCACGGGGGCTAGATGTTTTCATTTTGCCCTTTCTCTGTTTAGCCACCGCAGGACCTGCAGGCAAATCTTCACTTGCCTCAGATGACTTATTACTGATCACATCTTGGATTCTGGTTTTCTGGACCTTTGTTGTGGTTGGAGATGCTGAACGCACATTTTTCTTAGCTGGGCTTTTGTTCCGTACCTTGTTCTTGGCTTCCGTTGACTTCACCGATGAACTTATTACATCCTTCTCAGGCAAAACGGACACTTTTCCAAACTTATTCTTTTCATCCCGCTCCTTGTTGGTTTGAACCACAACAGATGTATAAAGCTTCTTAATTGCCCCAGCTTCTGGGGTATTTGACACCGCCGTCGGCTTCGGCATCCTCTTCATGGCGGCCATCTCCGACGCCTGCGAGATGCACATCTTCCTCAGGGCCTGTTTCAGGCTCACAGACTCAACAATCTCCGAGCTCGATATCGGCGACTTCCCGAGCGCGATAAGCCTCCTATCCGTGCTCGTCTGCCCAGAAGCCCGTGCGGATGTGCGCACATTAATCGATCTAATGAGCCTATCGAGATCATCCTCGACGGAGCACGACCGCGCTCCATGCTCCTGACCCACCGGCTTCACTCTCACCCTCAGGTGGGTGACACCACCAGGACGGGCATCCTTCGACTCATCCACCAATTCGACTATCTCTGAGCAACCTGAAGAACCCATCTTTCTCAAAAGCCCTCTGCTGCCTCCGGAGCTGCGCCTAGTAGAGCATTAACTCATGCGGCCTCACAACTAACAACCGCATCTGGGGAGGCCATCCAACCGCTGACGCAGCTCAGGTTAGGACCAGTGGTTGCCTGCAGTTCGGTGACCAAAGAGGCAGCTTTCCTGGATCAAGAAGCGGCATCACGGGGCCCTGCAAGAAAATCAAGCACAAACTGGATCAGATAGAGCAAAAAACCCATCTTTGCTCAGGGAAAAAAAACTTAGCAATATACAACAAGGAGTAAGATTAACACTAACGAGAATGGAGAAAAAGCAGCAACCAAATCAAGTGAATCTGCAGCTTGAACCAGAGCCAATCTCGGTGCCCTCCTCCTCAAAATCTCCCCCCACAGCTCTCCTTTTCCCCACCCAAGAGTAGAAATTTGAAAAACACAAAAGAAAGAAAGCAAAAGGAACACAGATGCGGTAGGTGAGGTGGGGTTTTGCTCTATCCCCAGCAAAATGATGCGAGATCCGTTAACCCCTGGAGGCAAAAGCAAGAAGAGGACACAAGCAGCTCAGCCAAAACCACCCCAAAACTTAGGGCCAGCCAAAAACACCAGCATACAAAAAAGAAGGGGAAAATGAAGAAAAAGAACAAAGATTTGTGCCTATTAGATGCGGGGTTTTGCCCTGGAGAAACTTACCGGCAGGAGAACCGCGGTGGCGGCGGCGACGGGACTAGGGTTTAGCTGGAGCGCCGCCGACGAGTAGGACAAGGAGGCGGAGCTGGAGAGAGAGAAGGGAAGAAATGTTGGGTTTTCCTTTGGAGAAGAGTTGAAACGGAGAGAGCTCAGCTTCAGCAGCAGCAATGCGCGCACATCACGAGGAGCAAAGAGGAAGACGAAATGAGAGCGGCTGCCTCTGCCTCTCCCCTCACTCACTCACGCCTACACCTATGCCCTACAAACTTCTGTCACACACACACACACAAACCTATCCTTGCTCTACCATTCTCTCTCTACCACGGTGACCACCGCAAACCGATAAAGGCCCCACCGGGGGCACCACCACCCCTCCCAAGGATTTTACGCTTCTTTATTTATTGGGTCACATTTATTAATATCTGTAGCCACGTATCGCGTGCTGCTACTGCTGTGCCCCTCCTCTCCCCTTTCACGTCTCTCTCCTCGCCCTTTTCATGTCTCTTTCTCTCTCTCCAGACTACCGAGCTTTTCTCTCTCTCTTTTTTTTTTCTTTTTATCTTGTTTTGTCACCCACAACCCTGATGAAGAAAAGGGCAAAAAGAAACGAACGGAACGGAACGGCACGGCCCGTAGATAAAACAATTCATCTACGAGGAGATAGTAGGAGTAGAGTGGTAGAGGCTGCTGTGTCTGGCTATGCTCCGCCTGCGGACACCGGACAGAAAGGGCATCAAAGAATTCACGGTTCCCCGTACTACGATTTCGATTTCGATTTCGATTTCGCCCTAACCTCAGCGCGCGCGTGGCCCGCAGCGTCAGCGGCGCATTATCCTGCCGCGGCAACATGGCTGGAGTAATCACCGGGGCGCTGCGCGTAACGTGATGAGTGGTTTTGGCCAAGCTCATCACTGCGGCCGCGCAGGCGGACGGGAGGCGCAGCGGTGACCGGTGGTGGTACCGTGGTAGGCGGATGGGTGAACGTGAGACGGTCAGCTACTGAGGTGGGCTCGTGATATCGTCGAGCCGTGCGGTGCGTGACGCGCGCGGCCGGCCGCAGCTGGCGAGGCGGCCCACGGGCCACCGCACCACCCCACCACCACGTACAGGTACCACCACCACCACCACAGCCGCACGGTCACAGGCGCCTCGTGCGCGCGCATTGCTGTGCGCCTCCCTCCCCCACACCGCCTCCTCCCGCCTCAGCTGCATTCACTCGTCCGGTCGTTGCTCGTGCACCATGCGTCCACGCCCATCGCCGGCCTATTCGCTTCTCTCCTCAGCTAAGAACTTTCACGGTACGTTTATGTGCCATTCAGCCTCAAGCGGTCAGGATGGGAATGGTTAGGATATGGATTGAACCTAAACCGTTTTAAGTGAGTTCGTTTATCCATGGTTTAATAGGGTTGATCCACCATGAGTCTATTATATCAATAGGTTATACATAGATATCCAAATGGATCGGTTACTCTTATTACATATGGGTAAAACTCGGACCCAAAATTTTTAAACTCGCGTTCACACTATAAAAACTTATCGAATTCAGTTGAATTTTGGTGGGATAATTTATTGTACAGAGAAGCAACTTTGTATAAATTTTGAGCCCTTTATACAAGTGGGGCCCACGATGCATTACTAGGACCCAAAAATTCTAGTTATATGTGTAAAACTCGGACCCAAAATTTTTAAACTCGCGTTCACACTATAAAAACTTGTCGAATTCAGTTGAATTTTGGTGGAATAATTTATTGCACAGAGAAGCAACTTTGTGTAAATTTTGAGCCCTTCATACATGTGGGGCCCATAATGTGTTGCTAAGACCCAAAAATTCTAGTTACATGTAAAACTCGGATCCAAAATTTTTAAACTTGCGTTCACACTTTAAAAACTTGTTAAATTTAGTTGAATTTTGTAGGAATGAATTATTATATAGCGAAGCAACTTTGTACAAATTTTTGAAACATTTATACATGTGAAGTCATTTTAGATCGAACCCCTTGAACCTTAGGTTCTAATGGTTTGATCCGTTTGATCCATTTATATTTTTGGAGCAACCCTACAAATCCGTTAGGACAAATTGATCCGTTTGATCCATTTATATTTTTGGAGCGACCCTACAAATCCGTTATGACAAATTTACGGATAGGTTTAGTGCATAAATGGATCGACCCTAACCATTCCCATCCTTACTCAAGCTTATAAGTAGGAGATTCTCAGCCACGTCAATATTTTCTGTGACCAAACTAAGAACGCGTGACCAAACTAAGACACATGTTATTCATAAAAAATTGGCAGCATCGTTAAGGCAGCCCACACTCGTCGCTAGGGAAAGGAGAGAGGGAGGAAAGAAAGCTCGGCTTGTCTCGACGACTAGGGAGGGAGACCGTCAACGGGGAGGGAAGGAGGGAGCCAAGAAAATCGTCGCCCCTGCTTCCACACTGCACCGTCACCGGGCTCGTTGCTGAGGAGGGGAGCTCAAGGCCAACGCCGGCCATAGTCATGGACGAGGTAGATGAGTCAGCGCTAGACCCGCCCCGTCGCCCCCTTTTTGTACGCCACCAAGCTCTTGCAGTGCCGTACCCTGCCAGTCGGAGGAGGAGAGGTGGTGCCGTCGCCAAACCGGCCGCGGCCGCCTCACTTCCTCCACCATGGAAAATGCAAAGAGGAGGAGCACCGCCGACCTCGCCATCCCTCGCTCCCGTGCCGCCAACCTTGCCACTGCTTTTGGGGACAAGGCGAGGGATGGATCTGGTCGCTCGTCAACTGCTCCCGCGCCACCGACCTTGCCACTCCACCTAACGTCATCGCCCTCGACGCGTGGGCCGCTTCGCCGGCGTTGTCGCCTTGACCTCGCCTCGCTTTATCCGCCATTGGGGAGAGGAAGATAGGAAAAAGGGGAGATGAAAAGTGAAAAAAGGTGATATTAGTGGGACCCACTATAAGTGACTTGCTGTGAAACATGTAGCTAACATTATTCTTTGCTCACATGGCACGTTAGGTTCGGCAAAATGTGGTGGCCAACTGCTAATGCTCTAATCCTCGACAAGGGTCCATGAGTTGGTGCAACTGCGTGGCAACGTCAGTACGCCTCCGCCCTAGCAAGGTGTCAGGGTGGGCTCTGTCTCATTGGTCCTGATACAATACACACGAAACTTTTTCCGTCCCAAAATGTGCATTTTTTTAAGGTAGAGGGGTTTATATTTATGAGTATATGACAGAGATAAAAATTAATGTAACTATCAGTTTTACTACTACATTCATCCCAAATAAATTTATTTTTCACCCATCACACACCAATATAAAACAAAAAAATAGAATACCTTTCAATTAAACTGGCCCGCGCAGATTGTGCAGCTAGCATTATTATATTTTCTCTCGTATAATAGTATATATGTTTTCTCATTATATTATTAAAATATATTACAATGACAACATAATTTTAAATTTTGCAATAACTTTACGAAACTATTAATGTGTAATATTCATATTGTATTTTATATACATGTTAGTTATTAATTATTTTTAATATCAAATTTTAGTTATTTGTAAATTATATATATTCCTATATGGACTCTAGACTCGTCTTTTAATATTTTCTTTTTTTTAATTCTGAATTTTTATTATTTCTAATTGTATTTCTATGTGGACTCTAAACTCATCTTTCAATATTCTTTAATTTTTAATTTCAAATTTCAGTTACTTCTAAATTGTATTCCTATATTAACTATAAACTCTTCTTCCCATGTTTTTATTAATTTCAAATTTTAGTTATTTGTAAATTGTATTTTTATACGTATTCTAAACTCTACTTTTAATTTTATTATGTTTATTCTGAATTTTAGTTAGTTTTAAATTCCTATATGGACTCTATACTCTACTTCTAATATTCCTTATTTTTTTAATTCCGAATTTCTATTTTTTCTTAATTGTATTTCTGTATGAACTCTATACTCTACTTCTACTATTCCTTATTTTTAATTCCGAATTTATATTATTTCCTAATTGTATTTCTTTATAGACTCTATATTCTACTTTTAATATTCCTTATTTTTAATTCCGAAATTCAGTTATTTCCTAATTGTATTTCTATATGGACTCTAGTCTCCTCTTCTAATATTCCTTATTTTTAATTCCGAATTTCAACTATTTCTAAATTGTATTTCTATATGGACTCTAGTCTCCTCTTGTAATATTCCTTATTTTTTAATTCCGAATTTCAGCTATTTATAAATTGTATTTCTATATGGACTCTGCTTTTTTCTTTTTCTCCGATTAATGTGAGAATTTCTAGGCCATGAGAGCGAACGTGGAGGCTCATTTTTCTATTCCTTTAATAATATAATAGATGTCTCTCGACTTTTCTAGTTCCAATGAATTTATCATCTACTTTCATACTTAACTCTAATGTAATAATTATTTAAAAATAAATGTATTTTAAGATAAATCCGAGACAGTAAAAACGAACTCATTTTAAAACGAATAAAAACTTGCTCTAAACCCTTTATATAGGAGGCAGCTCTCCAGTCACGCATAGTACAGCCGACGCCCGAGTCCCGACCAACCAGTCAACCACTGCCTGTCTGCTTCGTCCTGCATCTTCCTTCTTTCCCTCCAGAAAATTTGAAAACGAAGGTTGCCTCATTGCCTGGGCACCATCAGACCCAAATCCTTCCGAGCTGGATGCGGCTGCTCACTCAGTCTCAGCAGTCAGCACTCACTCGCCTCGCATGATAAACCACGTTGAACTGAAGGTTCGGCTGCAAGTACAATCCGCGGTGTTTTAGTTTGGCCGTCCATGTGGGGCGGCCGGGCGCCGGACCGGGCGGGGGTGGCGCCTAGCCGTATACTACGCCGTATATATGGACTATACATGGATCGATCGACGGGAGAACGCCAAATACTGTGAGTACCCCGCGTACCGCCAGAACGATGGCAGCGGTAAAGATTGCCATGAATCTCGTTCCGCATAGCATACGTAATGCTTGTACGACTGTACGACGCAGCTAGTAGTAATGCGACTTCACACGTTAATGAATGCTCCATACTGCTGGGATTGGGATTCGGTGACATACCCCCGTGACATTCTCGGTAACATTGAGTCACTGACATGTGGGTCCAGGCACATGTGGGTCCCACATGTCAGTGACTCAATGTTACCGAGAATGTCACGGGGGTATGTCACCAAATCCTAATCCATAGTGCTGTGGCCACTGGCTAGTGGTCTAATCTGCATTCTTGTGCATTTTATTTGCGCGCGGAATGCGTTACACTCTCTGTTTGTTTTTCTGTTTATAAGGTTGTGTGTTTAGTTCACGCTAAAATTGTAAGTTTAGTTGAAATTATAACGTTGTGATGAAAAAGTT